CGTATTCAATAATAACCAATTGCAGCACTAAATTTAACGGCTATTATCTGCCGTTTGGAACCTATTTCAATGTTATTACACATGGCACGTTTTTAAAAAACATCTGAATCGGTATCATTAAAATATAGCTCTTCAATTATAAGTGTTAGGAATCTGAACAAGATTCCTTCAAGCACATATATTTATGTACCAATATGTACAATGAGTTGTCAGTTTACCGCGCAATTACTAAACACACAACACTGATCTAAATGACTTCGCCCAACTTCAGACTATCAGCATATGAGCCAAGCCCATTCTTTCAACTGATAAATACAGAGCCATAACTGTTTAACAGGCATCGCAATATTAAGGCCCGAGTAAATACGACTGGGATACAGGAACATGGAGCACCGCTACCAATAGAAAGCATACGCGTATAGAGCGCTGGCCGACAAGCGACTAATCATAACCTGATCTAACTGTCCGTTCATGTTGCGAGATCATATCCACCAGCACAGTGACTGCTTAAATACTACTGACGTAGGTACACTGTTACCGCTGTTAACCATCTTGGAGTCATGTTGCTTTATCGCTATTTAAGTCACTCCTCAGCCCATAACGGTAACAGAGACAGTAGAAATGGGTGTTATGCTACTATTCTTTTATCTAGGTCGAAACACTCCCCAACCCGCCTATGTCCTCAACACGCAAACACCCTTTATAATCTACGCAAACATGGGTTAAAAAAGGGCGTGACTTGCAGTAATTCTTGGAATTATGCATTTGACTAATGTGGAATATTGATTTTCCTTTTTGTAAAATGCAAGTACAGCAAACAGTTCCGGCACGAAATAGGTCATGTGATTTGACGAAGAAGAATGAGTAGCATGCAAGTCTTAACGGAAATGTAACCGAACGGAAACACATCTCCCTGCCATCTCCGTCTTCTTCTTCTTCATCTTCTTCTTCTTCTTCCACTGATTAAGAACTCCGACATGTTCGATGCAGAAATAATTTTGAAATTTTGAAATTTTGAACCCTTAAACATTTTGTAGGAGTCACTGGACGCGGAATTAGATCGCCGTAAGGCCTTTACAACACACGATAACACAACACTGAAAACGCTGATAGGCACCGAGAGGGATTCGAACTCGCTGCCTTAGTGTTAGACAGACCCAATGCAGCACCTCAGACTGTGCATCGCTGTGAATATTTTTAAAATGCTTGAGCCAACAGCATTTCTCCTTGGATATAGGTGAGGACATCGCAAGGCCTTTTTACTAACGCAGATAATGTACAGTAAAGTTGTCCTTGTGCTTAACTAATTAAGCACTATGCCACGAAGGCATATGGGGGAGTGGATGTATAGATCCACATTTTCTTGACTATGGCACTAGTCGGAGGTGAGCGATCAGTTTCACGCCCCGTCCGCTTTACCCCCTCGGAAAGAGCCCCCGGCACCCATTCGATAAGAGGTTGGGTGGACCCCAGAGCCGGTCTGGACGACTTGAGGAAAATTCTTGACCCTACCGGAAATCGAACTCCGACCCCTCAGTCGTCCAGCCCGTAACCCGTCGCTGTACCGACTGAGCTATCCCGGCTTAATAAGGAAAAATGTGAAAGAGAACCCATACACCGTAGGGGTACTACGTGTGAAGGAGTGGGTTCAAAGGCGTTGGGTCATTGTGTCTGTATTAAATTCAATTCAGTTCAATTCAATTATATTCAATATCCATATCACAAGTGTTAAATACACGTATGAGCTTCAGTGAAACTCAGGTTAAAACAGCAAATCGCTACAAAAGGATATGATATAAACCAGGAGCAACATGCAAGGCTGCACAGGAGGCTGCCACTGACGCCCTAAACCAAGGTTTCGGAAGGATAAAAGCATTCTTGGGGCTCAGCATTAGGAATATGAAAGATCATATTTTTAGAATCACGTTAACTCTGTGCGGTATAAGACACGAAATATTTTCTCTTCAACATTGGGATCGTGGATTCAAATCCTACTCAACGCATGGCTGTATATACGTATATCCACTTTTTTTTGTGTGTGTTTGTGTTGCCCTATGTAGGCAGCGGCCTTGCGACAGCTGACCCCATCCAAGGAGTCCTACTGACTGTCCTCAAGATTCATAATTTCAGATTAATTCTGAATGGAAACGGGCCGGAATGCCTAATAAATAAAGAAGAATTATATAAAATATTTTTATTTATATAGATTAGGTAAGATTGTGATGCCTTGTGCCATTAAGGGCTGTACTGAACGGGAATGTAACTTAGAATCTAAATTGAAATGGAAATCCTGAACCATGGTTCAACATTGCTTTGGTTTCTAAGCGGTAACGTCAGAACTTCCATTTTGCAAGTTTATTTTGTCACATTTACCATTTTGATTAACTCATACTCTTTATGTGACGTCACAGACTTCCTAATGGCGCTGACGCACAGCGGGACCTCAAGCCGGCAACGCAATTCTCATGCTCAATAAAACGTCTGCATTACAACCGATGTTCACGCCGCAGGGCTTTGACTTCTGTAGAAATGAGGCTTTATCAGGATAACACACGTATTGCAAAAAATACAAAAGGGAAACATAGATAAGCTTATTATTACGATATACAACTTACACTGAATCATTCTTTGGGGACGTTACAGCGGCGACTTTGAAGTGCAGTGTGACGCCGTGTAGTATGGTAGAAATTTGTCGACGTTCTGGAGAAACGTACAGCCTCAAAGCAGTCGGTAAACTTCTACCAGACCACACGGCGTGACATCCCAGAATACAGCAATCTTCATTCTTTGATGTAGTGTATCACTCATTCAGTCATGGAGCTGAGCCCTTCTTGAGAAGCCGTCAATTGTGCAGCTACTCAAGAACTGAATCACCGTGTTCATAAGAGCCATCCATTTGTCACCATTCTGATCCAGAACGATCCAGTCTATACCGTCCCAATCTCTCTCTCTAAAATCCATTTTAATACTGTCCACCCACCTACGTCTTGGTCTTCCTAGTGGTCTCCTTCCTTCTAGCTTTCCCACCAATATTCCATATGCATTCAACTTCTCCCCCATTCATACTAGTGTGTGTAGTGTATATTTAACAAGATACAAAAATAAATAATTTCTCTCTTTTCACTGTTGATCAGCTTTTAAAAACGAAGACATGCGATCCTATGTAGCACAATATACGTTGATCCTGTGAACATCAGAATGGAACTTCTATTGCACACAGGTTGGCACACGTTGTAACTGCCTCCGCGGTCTCTGTTGCCGATGTTTGCCCCCAAGGAGGAAGGACTCAACGCTGATACTTGGATCTCTTTTCAATAAGAAGTGGGTAAAGATGGACCACATCGCTAAACGAAAGTCCGGGCAGAGGTGATGTTTCCTGTCATTCCACGATTAAGATTACTTCAAACGTGTGTTTACTATCACATTCATGCTATTATGAGAAGAATCAAAGTAGTAATAGGTCTCTGCATTTGTTTAGGCATGTTGCAAAGAAGCTTTCAGCAGAAGTAGAAATCCTCTTCTAATCTATGTTTCAGCACAGTGTTACAAAATTAGTAAAATTAAGTATTACACTAAATAACAATAGATACAACTTCACATGCCACTAACTAATACTTAAAAACCACTACATTATTCGACCTCAGAGATTACCAACAATTAGTACATAGCTACTCGTAAAAACCGAAACGCCGGTTCACACAAGATCTACACGGCACCACATTCCAGAAGACAGCACTCTTCATAGTTCAGCCTAGTTTAGTTAGTTTACTGAGTCGAGTTTCATTACTAGCATAGAACCGTGTCCATATAACACCAGGTTTTTGTGCTACACAGGTTCAATGCATACGAACATACAAACTACAGTACATACAACTACTGACACTGTTTACATCAGTTCAGTTACTACAACTGTCACTACTGGCCATTGTTATTTCTATTCTCAATCCATTTTCACATTTTACATTTTTGCTTCCATCTAACCTCACGGGGGATGATATTGTGACGAATATGACCATTGTTAGGAAACGGTTCAGTAATAAACCATTGCTAGATAACGTTCTGTAAATAGATTCCCCAGGTTACGCAGTCAGCAATGGGGCCTCCGTTGCTAGGAGGTTTCCGTGGCAACGAATATTAAAGAACACACATTTCCGTGACAACGGGAGAATAAGAACTGACTGCTCTAGGTGGTGACCTATATTCTGGTCGCCTTTAGTTACAAGGGAATGTGTCCAGCGATTCTTCGTTCGACATTCGTCACAGTGGAAGAGAAGGCACCCGTAGTCCAGTAAGGAATGGAGCTAGTCTTAGACAGACACTGATTGTGGGCTGGTATAGTTGACTGTAATTATAATAGAATCGCCAATAAATACAGTCATCTAATCCAGAACCTACTATTATTAGTCACGTAAACCCCTCATACCTGACAATATTATGATAATGATATGTTACTTTAGAGTACTCCTATTAGTGATGTGTAGTGACGTGAAGGAAAGTGATCCAGCATGAAGAAAATCACGATGTTTTCGTCATGAAAATATTAATGTCTGAGTGGGANTCTACGACACGGGACCCACGGCTTAAAGTCCCTCCCGGAGGACTTGTTCCCTGAATTCTTCCGCCCTTAAAAATTCCACGACCTCCGCCGGGTTTGAACCCGCGTACCTTGAGTCATGAGGTGGGAACGCTACCCCTAGATTACGGAGGCCGATTACAGGAGAAGTAGGTTTCTGAACATAAGATTTTCCTCCACACGGATAAAGTGTGAGAAAACAAAAATAGAAAATTAATGCAGCATTAATTCAATCCAGTACTTTCGAAACCCTTTATGTTCCGCGTTACTTTAAGCTTATTTACTGCAGAAAGAAAATCTCAACACATAGTAATCAACATTGAACCAAAATAACATGAAATATACAATAGAGCAAGTAAATATAAAATTCGTATGAACTACAGAACACTTCCAGACTTCATCCCGACATCAAGGTGACGTCACTTACCTGATCTTTGTCTTCCTGAGAGCGTGGCCAGAGGGTCGCCGAGAGATGAATTTCCCCAAGGTATTCAGACTTTGCGGGATCACACAGGGTCAGAGTTATATCGGAAGATCTGCAATTGAGGCGTGATAAAATACTACAGTGTTAATAATTTGAAACAATCGAACAAAACAAGAAGAAACAAATACAATTTTTACAGAAGCACACCAATTTGGAGCCATGTGTAATTCGACCTGGAATTCAGTGTTTCCTACATTCTTGGAGATTATGTATTCTTGAAAATATATATTCACTTCTGAGATAGTGTACCAACAGTCGCGACACTATGCTCATAAAAAATGCTGTTATTCACAATAAATAATTATAAAAGGCATAAATATCGCGTTGTATAAATCCATAAAGTTGAATGTTCATGATTTATTTTATCCGTCTTCTAGTGCATACATCTATCCCCTCTTCTCACTCGCACTACATGTTTCGGCACAAAAGTGCTCTGTGTTGCGTCTTGCTCCTGTGACTGCGTATGTTATATCACACTATATATCACTAGTTTGTCGTGGATTGGATCAGCACTGAAGATGGCACTTTTGTGCCGAAACATGTAGTGCGAGTGAGAAGAGGGGATAGATGTATGCACTAGAAGACGGATAAAATAAATCATGGACTTAAATCAGTGCAACAGGACGCTAAAATATAACATAAGTTGAATGTTGCTAAAGTAAATCTACTTTAAGACCCTGCACTTTATAAAATCCTGTTACCTAGTTTACTGTCGACAAACCCAATCAACAGTAGAGATGCTAATATATAGAGAATCATAAATTACGTTTCTAAAAGAGATAACCAGCCGCGGTGATACCTCACTGCAGAGAAATGTATCACATATCTTGCGGCATGCCGGTGTGCGGCCTACCTAAATCTTGCTGTTGACAAAGCGACTCAATTGAAAAGGCACTCTACTGCACAGAATAACGAATTTTGCTGTCGAGGAAACTCAACAGTAGATCTGTTATCCTTCTTGTGTTCCACATGTATTCTGCCGGCGCGTTTTCTTCATCGAAAAATGCAGAGTGGTACTAGTTGACTTGTTTCTGGTACCACTCTCTTCATCTGAGTCTCGTTCACTTGCCCGATGTGATTTCAACAGGTCTGAAGTCTCGGTGTATTTAACGCTGTCTATGCCCCTTTCGTGGAAACATAGCACATATCTATACTGTAGCCTATATAAACCTTCCGAGATTGAGTTTCTTCTAAACAACATACATTCATTTTGTACCTCATAGGAAACACACTACAACTCAGCTACAAAGACCGAACGGTCTAATGCTCTTTAGGGCAAAAACCGCTGTTTATTGTAAGAACCATATGAAACATACAAATACATTCTGTGGGCAGAACACAGAGTTTCAATGTGTTCAAGCGGCTGGTATCAACTGGGTTTCAAAGGGTGTATACGCTTGCAAGACGCATGGCATAGTAAAGGAATACTGCTTCTATTAAAAATTGATCCTGTCTCTGTCCTCAAGGGCAATCAATTACAAACATAATTTCTGTGTGACAGACACTGCACGCACGTATGGCAGCGCAAATGCAACAAAACACGCAATCTCTCACTTAACTGTCAGGTGACCCATGACGGAACAGAGAGTGTGAAGTAGGTGTAGGCTTTAGGGTTTAATGAAATGCGCTTCTTCTTCTTCATCATCATCGTCGTCGTCGTCATGTTGTTAGGGAACTTCGAGATGCACGCTCATTTATACAGGGGGGGGGGGTATTTCTTCGTCAATTACTACAAAGTAAATTACAACTAAAACTGAGAAAAGTAAAATTTATCAAACTGGTGAAGTTTCAGCTTACTCTGAATATTTGTATGTCCGTTTTGAAGGATGGGTGTTCAGATATTCTCTCGTGTTGGAAAACTTCATCTACCTACAGTTAACTTATTTTTGCGGGGACGGGATTGGAGTGGTGTCCTCTCACTTCTGGTACTGTTAGTATTCCAGCCCATTTCCTTCAGAGCCAATCCTCAGATCGCTCTATAAACTGCTTGGAAGCACTCTGAACTTTTACTTAGCGCTTCAATATGCCTCGGTTCTTTTCCAATGAATTTGTTGTTTCGGCCATTCATGTCCTCCACTCACTTTCACGTGCCACTGCTAAGGCAGCTTCCCGAACCATTTACGTTCTCATCTTCAGCATCGCGTGTCCGGTCTTTTGACCTGCTCCATTCCCATTATTTATTGACAATCTGTTAAGTCTTCAGATACCGGATGCACCCCAATTTAGAGCAAATATTTTCCATTTGCGCTCAGGTCATTGCACAGAAAGTTATTTGCTCACTCACTCACACACTAATTTAGGTAAATCAGCTAAATTAACTAATCAGCCGATAATATACGCAAAGATTACGCCGCATAGTGTGGTAGAAAAGTATCACGTTTCGGGTGAATTTGCTGCCTCCACATTCAGAGCAGAACATGCTTCCTTATAACCTCGGTCCGTCATTCTTCATTATACATGAAAAGTGCCTCGATGTTTTATATATATATACACACACTGAAGTGCCAGAAGTCATGGGATAGGTACCTAGTATCGTGTAGGACCCCCTCTAGCCCGGCGAAGTGCAGCAACTCGACGTGGCATCGATTCCATAAGTGGACGAAAGACCTCTGGAGAGATGTTGAGCCATCCCGTCTGGATAGCCGCCCACAGCTCCCTGGTATTTATAGGTGCAGGATTTTAGGTGCGAATGGACCTCTCCACCACGTCCCATAAATGCTCGATTGGGTTCATGTCGGGCGAACGTGGTGGCCACACCATTCGTCGGAACTCTCCAGAATGCTCCTCGAACTGATTCTGGACAACTCCGGTCCGATGACACGGTGCATTGTCCTGCTGGAATATCCCATCGTTGTGGGGGTACATGAAGTCCATGAAGGGCTGCAAATGGTCACCAAGCAGTGTAACGTGGCGGTCACCGGTCAATGACGTGTTTCGGTGGCCGAGCGAACATAACTCATGCCATGTGAACACACCCCACATCAGTATGGAACCACCACCAGCTTGCACGGTGCTTTTTTGACAACTGGCAACTATATTGTGGAATGTAGAGCCGTTGCTAAGTAACGACGCGAAATAAGCAGCCATAAAACACTCGTTGATAGGTAATTGCTCTGTAAACAACGATCGTTGCTAGATAATGGCCGAAACAGGCAAGCATGCAGCAAAAGAAGAGTTGTTGGGGCGGTGTTTCCTGTGCGGTCCGTGCCGACGATATAACAAGGGCCAGCTGCCATTAGAAGGGAGTCTAAAGAAAGCAGTGAGAAGAGTAGGAGGTTAATGTGAGATGGCCGTCAGCCTGGGAGTCAGTGAGTGGAAAGGAATGAGTTCGTTGGTGAGTGAATGAGTTAGAGGACTGTTGCTGTTTAGTCCTTGTGAGCTGCTGCTGTTAGAAGCTGGTATCTAAGGCACGGGTACAGTTCGGGAATCCTAATGAAAGTGGAATGTCTGCGCTGAAAGCCGTTCTCAGAAAACTGGTGAAGACTCAGGAGGCTTAGAAGAGTTAAGTGTCTGCTGCAGTGAACTACAGAGTGTGTGAATTAGCGACAGTGCTGTAGTTACTTGTAGTTATGATCTGTAAGCGTTCAGTTAATCCAATTACTAATCCAAACCTGTCTATAGTCACTCACACACGTGACAATATACAGGACTACTATCAATGATTCATTCGTTTTTAAAACTCTATAGTATCCAAAGCAATATACGTATAAATATGATTGATATATAAAAAGAACTATAAGCTCACCAAGTTTTCTTCACACTCTACAAATGTTCTATGTATGCCCCCTGGGTCACACGACACACGTCCAGGCGGTAGTCGAGCTCGTTCCACACATTTTGCAGCTTCATCCTGTCAGTGGTCATCACTGTAGCATCGATGCGTTCCTTCAGCTCTACTAGTTGGGGTACGTAAACACGATCCTTAATGTACCCCCAGAGGAAGAAGTCACAAGGCGTTAGATCAGGTGATCTGGGGGGCCAAGTGAACAGAGCTACGTCATCCTCACCAACACGCCCAATCCAGCGATGCCGAAGTTCATTGTTTAGGTAGCGACGAACATTGCCGATACCATCGTAAAATGCTTTGTTTACATGGCGGTTGTTTTCCGTACTCTCTTTTGAATGCGCGTTGCCCTGCTATAACAAACGAAAAATCTTTTCTTGCTTTGTCGCCATTTTGTAAAGGCACTGAATGCGTACGGCCAACTGGTGCACATAATACAAACTTAGTGAGTTTACGGTTATTTTTATATATGAATCATATTTATACATATATTACTTTGGAAAATATAGCGTCTTAAAAATGAATGAATCATTTATAGTATCCCTGTATATACACGACCAATGCTGTTTTATCACATTATTTCCTGAAAATGACGAGACAGCAGTTCTTTGAAACGTTTACCTTATGCTCTGGATTGATAAGCCTAGTAGCCCGGAAAGATCTATAAATTTAGTGCCCGTAAAAGTTCCCTATCTTATATTCATTTTGCAGCCTTGTGGGTTACGATACTGTTTAGTCTTGTATATGGGTATATGTTACGAAAGAATACTTTGCCTCCAGCAGATGGATTCTTTCTGCAAGTGTTCTAAACGAAGAATTCCGATGGAATGAACAATATTCTTACGGTAAAATTTTAATGAACTCCTAAGAGATCATTTAATTACATAATCTCTTGCGATCAACTGTTATAAATATTTATTATTCAAGATTTTTTGACCATTTAAGATGAAATAAGAGGGAGCACCATTTTTCTTGAAAATAACTGGAATTCTAGTTTGAAGTTAAGTATAATCAAATACTTGGTGTTCCAGTGCTTCCCGATAAACCCAGCTGTCATCAAGTTGCTGAAGGTAGGCAAGAAAACCGTCCATACTGGATTCCAAAATAATCTTATGGGTGTCTAGACATTTTAATTTTCCAGTTTTATTAAAAAACAGCACAATCATGAAGTCCTAGTAAGCATAGTAATTGTAAAAAGGTAACAAAATATTCGAATTGTACTCACTTGCCAAGCTCCAACTTGGTGAGGTCCAGGAAAGCGGAGCCCATGAAGTCGTCCTGCAGCACCCAGTCGTAATCAAACACCTGGAAAACGAACAGATGTTCAGAGGATCAGAAGGGGCAGCAGAACCAGAAGCCACACGCTCTCCTTGAGTTATGCTCTGAGATGCAGCTGGAAAGGAAACCAAAGAAAGGAAAGGAAAGAAAGTTGGCTGTCAAGTCTTTATGTATCCCTAAAAGTAATGTATGTATCTTGAAGACAAACATTCCCTGTCACGTGACCGTTTCTTTATGGTAAGATATTTTTGCGTTTGAGTTTACCTTCACGTCACATTCAGCTTATTGTGAGCCGATGCGGACAGAAAATATATGTTCGTGTCAGGCTCATCAGTTCTAGGGAGCCAATACAGTGCGATCATCAAACAGCTTCCCGCATAACTTTCAGCCGCGTGCGTCCGCTTCTTCCTCCTGGGCGACTGAGCGATTAGCGGTAAGCTCTCAGATGATCGCAGTATACAAATCCACTTTGGTCAGTATATAAGAAATATGTGATATTTTCAAGTTATGGCACTCAGCTTGTGGGTTCAGTGGTAAGTGGTGCCAGCTTTCAACGTCGAGTGGGACACATTGGCTCTTAAGTCCTAAGTTATTTTCCTTAGCCTTCACAGGTGAATAGCAGAACAGTAGCTAGCCCATTGTTACCAGTACATCATACAAAACAATCGTTTCCTTCAACAACAACAATTCCTGTAGCTGGAAAATCATCAATTAATATTCCACGAACCAACCATTTACATCACGGTTCGTACCTTAATATGGACTGGCATGAAAGGGTCTTCAATGGGTAACGTAAAACTTTCATCCCATATTGGATTCAGGTCCCTGTAGATGGTCTTAGACTTGTACAGCAGCTGACCGCCCACTTTGAATTTTACGTATGGGTCGCTTGTACCTGGAACAGAATAAAACAGCCACATACAGCCGTATTTGGGCTACCGTGCGTTTCTCGGCTTTACCTCTGCTTCTCTGCGCTAAGAGAGATGGAAAGACTTATTGATACTTAAATATACCAAAGACTTTTCTCCACCTTTATGACGTAGCTGTATTTCTGCATTTAAATTCAGTTCCGATACTATAATTCAATTCAATTCTGTATTATTTATGTGCTGAGCCAACAGCCGAAAGGCCAATTACAGACATAGCACAGTGTAGATAAAAGTGGTTACATACTGGACAATCACAAGATAAAGTCAGAGACTAATTAAAGGTAGGCACTGGAGGAAAAACACATTCATACATATAAGGACACAAACATAATAATAATAATTTCATTATCACAGATCTAAGTTGCTACTGACAATTGAGAAATGTAAGGAATAGATATTTAGAAACAATAATAATAATAATAGTCCTTGGAATGAAATCCTTAACTGGAATAGCAAAGCCAATGTCAATAAAACAGGCCGTGATGCCCCCCAGGGTTGTGAGACATTTTCTAAAGAATTGACTCACAGATGGCGGTGAGATTGTTGGCTTTACTTTAACTTTTAACTTTACTCCCAGGATGATGAAGAAAACCGCAAACGAAGAAGAGAACATTATACGTCTGCGGTTCGTATTCTAGAGTAACCACTTTCGGATTTTGAGCTTCGAACATTATAAATGTGTACTTTCATGATTATCTGCAGTCCTTCCAACTGAATCAGTATTTTCAAACTGCAGCTTAATTTCAAAGTTTCGTCGTTTAGTTACCCCCTCGTTGGTGTCTCCACCTTATCGTGGTGAGGGGGTTTGAGTAGGCCAAGGACCCTGAGAGCTATAACAGCGGTAGCGTAGCTACTGGCAGGGCCTCCCTTGCTGGACAGGTCAAAGGGTAGGCATCAGACGAAGAGACACACCAAAAACCAAAACCTAATGCCGGAAGCAGCGTCATCAGCAGCGACTTGAAGCACAGAGCAAATGATGCTCGAGGTGGTTCAAGTTCGTATAGCAACAGGCGTGACCAGAGTGGTTTGAACGGCTGCTGTACTGCGATGTGGAAAGCAAATGGAAAAACTACCATATTATCACTTTTCCTGGATAGTCTCTTTCCAAAAACAGAGATACCATGTATGCGAGATGTTTCCTCTGGAAGCAAAACAATCCGGAAGTAAACTACACCCCCAATCGGATCTCCAGGGGGAGTGTTTCTAGAGGAAATGTCATGCAGGCGTTACAACAAGAAAAAGTGCGAAGATCAGAAGGAACATCATGGCTACAAGATTGGAACATGGAATGTAAGGACCTTGAATCAAGCAGGCAAATTGGAGAATTTGAAAATGGAAATGCAGAAGAATGAGGTGTCTGTTCTAGGTGACAGCGAAGTGCGGTGGAAAGGACAAGGTGAAATAAGAAGTGGTGATTATACAGTGTATTATTCCGGAGGTGAACGGGCTGACAGAGGTGTGGCAATAGTGGTGCATAAAAGTGTAGTGAGGAGTGTTGTTAAGGAGATTGTTTGTAATGACAGAATTATTGCTCTGAAGTTAAAGGCGGAACCGGTAGATATACTGATTATGCAAGTGTACATGCCAACATCAGAGTATGAAGATGATGAAGTGGAAAAAGTGTATGACACAATTGAAGAAATTCTTCAGGAAGATGGAAGAGGAGACACAAACAGCATCATATTGGGAGACTGGAATAGCATTGTTGGAGATGAACCATATCAGAATATTGTTGGATCACATGGACTAGGAAGACGGAATCACAGAGGTCAAATGCTTATTGACTTTTGTGAACGAAATGGATTGATTGTTACCAACACTTGGTTCAAGAAGCCAAAGAGAAGAATTTACACATGGAAGGCACCTGGGGATTGGAAGAGGCATCAGCTGGACTACATCCTTGTGAAACATCGATTAAGAAACAGTGTGAAGGATGTGAAGACGCTGCCTGGGACAGATATTGACTTTGACCACAACTTGCTGGTTGCCAAGTTCCGAACCAGGTTGAAGAAAATTATAGGATTTCGAAAGCGCAGACCCAGATGGGATTTGGAGAAGTTATATGCTCAAAGACAAAGCGTGCAAGAGACTCTAGAAGAGAAACTCGGTGCAATTGAAGGTGAAAGCGGAAATGCTGAAGCGCAGTGGAACGATATAAAAGAATGCATGTTAGATACTATCAGTGATTTGGTAGGTAAAGTTGAGAAGATAGCAAGAAAACCATGGGTTACACAGGAGATGATGAGTAAAATGGAGGAGCGAAGGAAATGGAAGAATGTCAACAATGAAGAAGGCAGGAGGAAATACAGGAGACTGAGGAATGAATTGAAAAGAGCCACGGACAGGGCCAAAAAGGAATATCTTGAGAAGATATGTAATGAGATTATGGAATTTCAAAGAACAGGCCGTTATGATTTGATGTACATGAAGACAAAAGAACTAGGATGGAAAGAGAATCATGGGATTCAAAATGTTGGCATCGAAGACTCCCAGGGGAATAGAATAGTAGATCAGAGGCAAGTGCTGAAAATTTGGGAAAATTATATTTCAGAACTATATGATCGACCTAATCGGCCAGAAACCTTAGAAGTTGAACCGGAAGAAGAAGTAGATACAGACGAGAAAGGACCATATATTTTACAAAGTGAGGTGGAAAAAGCTATCAAGGAAATGAGGAAGGGAAAGGCTACAGGAGATGATGATGTACCTGGAGATGTGCTCAAGTTACTGGGAGAAGGTGGTTTGAAAACACTGACAAAACTAATGAACACCATATATGAAAGTGGAGAGTGGCCCAAGGACTTTACAGAAGTTACAATGATTGCCTTAAAGAAAAAGACAAAAGCTACAAAATGCAGCGACCATCGCACAATAAGTCTTATTGCACATACAGCAAAGATAATAGCAAAGATACTTAAAAGAAGAATTGAAAGGAAAATAGAGGATGTACTTGGAGAAGATCAGTTTGGATTTAGAAGAGGAAAAGGAACCAGGGATGCAATTGGGATGATGAGAATTATAGCGGAACGAACTTTGGAGATAGATGAAGAACTGTGTGTTTGCTTCATAGACTGGCAGAAGGCATTTGACCGGGTAAACTGGACCAAATTAATGCAGATCCTGAAAGAAACAGGTATCGATTGGCATGAAAGAAGATTGATTAGCAAATTGTACATGGATCAGAAAGTTAGAGTACGACTGGACAGGGGGGAGACAGGAAGTGTGCAGATTGGAAGAGGAGTTCGACAAGGATGCTGTTTATCACCAATTCTGTTCAACTTGTACAGCGAATGCCTTACCAAGGAAGCTCTGGATGGGCTCGGTGACTTCAAAGTAGGAGGGCAAATTATTCAAACTGTGAAATATGCAGATGACCTTGTGTTAATGGCTAAGGAAGAAACTGTGCTACAGGGCATGATTGATAGACTAATTGAAATTGGAAGGTGCTATGGCATGGAAATGAATGTGGAGAAAACAAAAGTAATGAAAATTTCGAGACAACCAACCCCAGTCACAATAAAGATAGACCAAAAACAAGTGGAGAATGTGAAATGTTTTAAATATTTGGGTAGCTTGTTAACAGATGATGGAAGGTGTACTTGTGAAATTAAATCCAGGATTGCCATGGCAAAAGCTGCATTTAGCAAGAAGAAGAATCTTTTTACCAGCAAATTGGACTTAAATTTGAGGAAGAAACTAGTGAAATGCTACATTTGGAGCATAGCTCTGTATGGGGCTGAAACATGGACACTTAGGGCAGTAGATCAGAAACATCTGGAAAGTTTCGAAATGTGGTGTTGGAGAAGAATGGAGAAGATCAGTTGGACCGATTATGTGAGAAATGAAGAAGTGTTAATTAGAGTCAGTGAGCAGAGGAATATCCTACATGAAATAAGAAAACGGAAGGCTAATTGGATTGGTCATGTTTTACGCAGAAACTGCCTTCTAAAAGAAGTTATTGAAGGAAAGATAGAGGGGCGGATAGAAGTGACCAGAAGAGGAGGAAGAAGACGTAAGAAGATGCTGGATGACCTTGGGGACAGAAGAGGATAGTGTCATTTGAGGAGAAAGCTCTAGATCGCATTAAGTGGAGGAATTGTTTTGGAAGAGACTGTGGACCTGTCGCCTGACAGATTACTGATGATGATGTTTAGTTACATTTTATTAAACATGATATGAATTCTGTAGTTGATATAACGCCGTAAAATGAAGATGAATCTATTCAGTGACAATTTTATTTTTGTTCTACATTCACCTCTTTCATTTCCGTGTTTATGCTGTAGTAGGTCTTGTTTCGAAGAGGTTTATCTTCTGGAATGTAACTCCGCGAAGTCCATTACAAGTTTACAGATGTTTTGGAGGAATATATCGCCACCACTTCAGTGTCTAAGAACAAGCCAAGCAAGAAAATTGCTTGAAGCATGCAGAAAGTAGCTCTGGCTGACTCTCAACGGACTACATTGCATTATATCCCACAGGACAGAACTCTTCATACCAATCACTGTGAGAACCTCAAATCCTACACAGGCCTTTCTTCGTTCATGGCACTGTGCACTTCAAACCCTCGGCTGGCGAGTTAAAATCCTGCTCGGATTATGTACGTCTGTCTGCGGGTTTCTTTGCCGTCCCTGAATCCTACCTTTGGCTGAACAAGAATTTAGGGGAAAAAAGCTCTATAACAGATAGTGTCAGTGCTCGAGTCGGGCTGTGGAGACAAGAAGAAGGGTTGGTGTTTACTTACACCATTAAACAACATTCCAGTTTTTCAGTGGATATATAGTATCAACCGAGACCGGCAGGTGAGTAAGTAAAGACTATAAGATCTTTTTGGAACTCCCTGCGCATGCCTGGAGCGGCACGGAGACTACAGTCACGGATGGCTGGAAATCCGGCCGGAATTCCAAACGGTTTCTTTCAGACTACAAATCCACAGCTTTATCATTACATTAACTCGTTCGGTGACAAG